CAACAGCAACAACAATAACAGCAACAACAATAACAGCAACAACAATAACAGCAACAACAATAACAGCAACAACAATAACAGCAACAACAACATCAAGATCAACAGCAGCAACAATGACGTCATCAAGACAACCACCATCAACCACAAGAACAAGAACAACAACAACAACAGCAACAACAAGAACATCAACAACAACATCAGCAACAACTTCAAGACAACCAACAACAACACCACCACACTACCACCTCCACCACCAACAACAACATCTTCTAGACAACCAACAACAACAAACAACAACAACAACCACCACCAACAACAACAACACATCTTCAAAACGACCAACAACAACCACCACCACCACCAACAACAACACCAACAACAACCTCTTCAAGACAACCAACAGCAACAACCACTCACCCTGACACCTCAATATCGGGGGCGTCCAGACACCGTATTCACACACGTGCACCGTCTCACTGATCCCAGGGCTGACCTCTTTGACCCCATCACACACCAGGGAGATGACCGTGTCAGAAATGTTCACCAGCTGACTTCCGGTCGCCGTGGTGTTGATGGTGGGGCACGGAGCTGGGAAAAGAGCGTGGGAGGGGTGAGAGAGTAAAATATGTGAGTTTTTAGTCTTCTGGAAGGAGCGTGTTTGTCTTCACTGTCATATTCCGAGCACTCGTCTCCTTGTCTTCGCTGCCAGTATTGGTACCAAGTTACAATACATGTAGGCTACACGTATGTACCACATTATTTTGGCATCATCCTAATTATCATCTACCGTAATAAAGTCTTCTTAGGCATTTTCATGAGATTCATTTTTCACTGAAAAATTACCACATCATCATTTAAATTCAGTCTCATTATTCAGCAATAACAAAAGCATGTTCATGACATGACCAACTCACAATCATAATTTGGGAAAAAAAGGTGCCAGAATTGCATTGATTTCAGTCTACCCTCTTTCAAAGTTTTTCAACAACTATATATATATATAGATCTATGGTATATAAAGTGAACTTAATTTTCGTTAAACAGCTTATTTCTGTATGTGTAATCTTGGGAGCTATGTTTCAACGTTTCTGTGTTTAAGTTTCTGTAAATGATGATCAACCACCAAGTTTATCCATAAAATACATAGGATCAATAGTGGGGTCTGAGGGGCCCCCTTACAGGCTTCTAGGGAAATCGGACCATCCAGAAGACTAGGGTTAAGTAAGAGTTTTAAGGCACTTGCAACACAATAAGGTCATATAAGTGTCAAAGAATAGATTATGTGTTACAAAAAAGTAACATACACACAAAAGAAGGAGGAGAGATTAAAAATGGCTGATGTTTGATAGAAAATAAGGAGCAAACCACACCAGAGAACCATCCAACTACCCCAAATAAGTATGAGGTTTTTGGTAAGACTTTATTTTTCCAAC